GGCATTGAAACAGGAAATATGTGAACCTGTCACAGTAAGCAGTCTCAAAGGCCAAGCTGCTTTGCAGGAGCTAATTAACCTTAGGAAATAATTACCCAAATATGCAAATGTTGTTTAGATAATTCCATGTGTTATCAACTCAGGTAGTCCATCATAACTGCAAACCTTGCAATGTCTAGGTGTTAGAATCTGGCATAGTTGATAAGGCTTGGGTTGCTGCATCACTTCAGCTTGGTATTTAACAATTAATGACTGTGATATTATATTAGTAAATTCAACCTGTTTTTGAAAGCAACATAACATAACACTGTATTCACTGTATGCACAGTGCTTATCAGGTACTCCTAATGGCTCTAGCCATTAAAATGTTATATACCTTTCAACTCAGCGCTAGCAATATTGGGAAAAATGACAACCCGAAATATGCGTTCTCTCTCTCTGCTTCTTTGCACAATGAATTGCGAGAGAATTTACCCACAAGCATTTGTTTTGTTTCACAGCTCCTAACTATTACAGGGAGAATTTTAAAGGTGCAAGTCTGTTTTTTGCCAAGCAAACCTCTTTTTGAAATGAGATTAGGAGCAGGATGGTATAAAAGAGTGTTTCTGTTGGCATTTTGTAAGCTCCAAGACAAAATAGGAATGAGTTACTGAACAGAAACAAGAGACAGCCAGCCAAAAAAGAACACAAAGGTAACAAAGAAAAGCCTCAGAAGACAAGAAGCCCAAAGCAGAGAGTATTTATATGCGGACTAAAGGGCAGGGCTCTTCCACTGCCCTTCACCAGCAAACCATCGTTGGCAGTTCTGTATACAGGGCAAGGGAGGAATGGGGGAATGCCAGCATGCCCAGGTCCCTGAGAGCCAGCCCAGCTGTGCAGGTCGGCGCAGCCCAGGGCTCTGCTCACCCTGCCAGAGCTCCAGGGAGCACAGCTTCCTCTCTGCCTCCATCTGATGCTTCAGGCAGCTTGCGGCTATGGAAGAGGTTCTGGCCCTGGGATATTAAATGGCTTCGTATAGATGAGGAACATTAATTTATTAATCAGTGTCATATTATTTTTGTAGACTGTGCTAGTAAACTATTTGATTAAACTTTTGATATTAAAATGAAAAGCTCCATATTAGCCATTTGTGATCATTTTTTGAGTGATAGCTATTTGGTTTAAGAAGTGAAGACTTTTCTATACATAGTTAATAGACAGTGTTTAAAAATACTGCGAAAATTAAAAAGGCCTTTTATCACTAGAAAAAGGCATCTGTTCTTAAGGAAGTGTTTGTGAATACTCATTTCTACCACATGAAACAAATTTTTACTCTATTTGCAAAGGCTTGATGATCATTTCTCATTGAAAAGGAATATATCCATGTGGTAAGCACATCTTTTTAAGTAATCTGATCATTAACTGGACCAGGACTATGTGGCTACTTGCATTCTGTATTATTTTTATGGGCACCATATTACAGCTAGTTTCAGAAACATATTCCTCCTCTAGCCTTCAAGAATAGGAATAAATATAATGTAAGCAATCTGAAATACCTTGGCAATACTTCTCTTAAGTGATTTTAACTCCTTTTATCTCTGAGGTAATTTTCAGTGGATTCTGCTGTGTGCATGTGTGACAGGTGTTCAATATCTAATAGTCTCCATAGTGTTGGTAGTCACCAGTAGTAAATGAGGTATACTCATTCTAATCTTAGCAGTAAAAGGGATTGAAATATAATAGTTATTAAGAAAAAGACATGGACATCTTTTCATTTATTAGTGAATTAAAGGGTAAATCTTATCTGATAATATTCCATTTAAAATGGAGCCACGTAAGATTTTTCATGATGTGCAAAGCTTATGCCTCCCATGTTCCATTCACCACTGAGCAAGCCCAGGTGCAGGAGCAGAATCACAGCATCAGAACTGCAGCAGCCTGACAGCTGTGTGTTTTAAGGTTACTTTGCACTGGTTATGTATCACACAGAGGCCTTTTTCTAACAAGGTTCTTAATATTTTTTACTTTTATATCTTCTTGTATATATCTGGGGTGTTGAAGACCCTCAGCCGTGACGCTGAGCAGAGCTCCAAAAAATCAAACTAGTTATTTAGACATAGAATTACTGGTTGCAGATAACTGACTTCTAGCAGCTGGAAATCCAAGTTCAGCTCTCCTAGCGCTTTTCCACCTCAATCTGTTTTACAAATGAGAATGCATTAAGCCTCATCAGCCTTTTGAGTCACATAATATGATTTCTTCATTTCTTTTGTACAATCATATAGACAATTATGCAAAGCACGGCCAAGAGACCCTAAGTTTATGAAATCATTTAAGGTGGTATATAAGTGCATTGTATTTAGCTGCAATGAAAAGAAGGAAAGCAACAGCTGCCTGAAACTATCACCTCCATATTGAAACTGCAGTATTCAGCATCATAATTTAACCGAGGCCAGGCAGATATATTTAATCCTCAGGTCCTAATGGATAGAAAGCAATTCAGTATCCTAAGGAGACTTGCAGTACCCCACAGTCTGCTGTGCCCACTTACATGGCCAGATGTTTCTTGTATGGACATGGCACTGGTTTATTCTCCACCCAACTTGTTTAAAGTAGTGGCTTGCTATGAGGAAAAAAAAAAAAAAAAAGCAGATGCCATGAAGAAAGGGCTTTACTTTTAAACATATACTGCTCCTCCAAACTCCATCTTTCACATATTTCTGCCCCTTACCATGTGGCAGAGTGAGTATAGCAGTACAGCTTATCCTGCCTTTTTTTTTTTTCTACCAGTAACAAAGGAGTGTGTAGTTACAGTCTATAAGTAACTAATTCCAGTTCATTTCTTTTTGTTTTTATAAAGTTCTTTGTACTCGACTGTGAAGCCGTGCAGTTAATGATCTGGTTTACTTGACCACTGGTTATGCTTTAATTGATGCAAGTTTTTCAGGCTGAGTTTTAGAATCCTTTAGAAGCTTCTTGCTGCTGTCTTAGTCTTGTGGAAATCCTGAAATGGTGTGCTTCTCCTGATGGCAGCACAGAGAATAATAATTACAGAATGTATGAAAACACAAAGTTAACCACAAATAGCCTTATATTTTACTTAGAGTATTAAACCACGGTTTTATACCCACACAAAAATTCCTGTTACAGGAATTCATTGTAACATTATTATTAAAAAAAAAAAACAAATATGTTTCGCAAATTTACTTAAAGTAAAAAAATTCTAGTTTAAACTGGTCATTTAGAAATTCTCCCTATGTTCTAATGTGCCTTTTCCTTATGTATCATATTTAGAATATATCCCTTTTCCTTAAGAAACATATGAGGTTTTCTTTGGCTTTATCTTACTAACTAGCCTGCTAATCATATCTTCCATATGAAATTTCTTTTAAAAAACGTACTTCATGAAAGGAGGGGTCTTTACTTCCTTCTTCTATCTTTACAATCAAATTTCAAACTTTGGTTGAAAGAAAATAAGCCTTTTCTTGTGTTGAGGTGGCTTGTGGTAGTTAACACAAATTTATTTGAAACTCTGTTATAGTCAAGTGAAGAATCTGTCCAGAATTAAATTGAATATCTTTACTGCTTTTTGGCAAATATGATTGTAAAGTTGTAATCTCTTCAAACTTAGGAAAAAAAATTAAGCACATGACTCTTTGTAACACTTTTGGTCCAGCTCGATGAGTATTTGTAACTATCTCATTCTTATTTAGGATAGTAAACTAGGCATGAAAATAGAAGTAAAAGCCTACATCCACCAAGTTATTTAGTTGTCTGTCTTCTCACTCATGTTCGACAACCGTAAGAGATTTAAATTTCCAAAATTGTATTTTAGAATGAGACTATGACTTCAGCGTTCTTTATAAAGTTACAGTTGTTCATACAGTGTAATTATCACTTTAATTCCAGTGGCTTTTGCTCGTTTGTACTCTATTTTCCCCAAGGAAATGGGGCTTATATGATCTGTCAGTGTCTTCTAGTGATATGAAGGCACTGGTGGAGAAGAGCAAAGGGATGCAAATATTAGGAAATTACATGACCTTCACTGAGCAGCTCTTCCTGGCATAAAAGCTCTGGAGCTGGAAAATGTCTGTAATGTTGTGCTGCAGAGGTGTGAAATCCTGGTGGGAGGCAGGAAGTAACTGAGCATCAAACTCATGCCACCTGAGACTAGACAAATTTGAAGTGATGCCACAGACAGCCTGATAAAGAAGTAAAATACAGAGGACTGAAGGGCTTTCTGATCGTCTCAAAGGTAGAGATAGCACTGCACATCCCCACATGTTTGAGGACAGTGCACTAACATCAGTGTGAATGATTACAGTGCTTTCAGTGGCTCTCTGACTGACATCCATTAGTTATTATTCAATAACAAAAAACAGTCCTCCAACTACCAGAAACTCTGACATAGTGGCTAATACGTAAGCAGTCAAAACGTGGTTTATCTGCCCTCTATCTCATAGTCTACATTTCAAAACAAATAAAAACAGCATTTCAAAGAGTAGTTGCAAATACCCTAGTTGTTACTCTTTGGCAAATTTCCACTGGAGCATAATACGAAAAAATTCTAAAGTCTGAAATCATATTTATCTTGTTCATACTCGTTTTTATTTGTTTTATCAGACTAAGAGTTAACTACTTTAAACAAACCATCAGTGAGCAAATATTTGACAAAGAGTTGTCAAAAGAATGAAAACCAGAGCAGTGGCTCATAATTTCTTTGAATGCCTCTGTTTAGCTGAATTGCCATCGTGGTATTTAGACAAAATTTTGCAGATGCATAATTTTCGTTGTATTTATTAAAATAAGTAACAATAAAACAACAGTTTTACTGCATTTAAATTGCAATCTTAGATTTCTTTTATTTGGACAAATGAATCTGCTCATTTTTGACACAAGAGTATTATTAGCTTGAATTTTGTTTTAACAATACATTTTAGTGTATGGGAGAACATGTTACTTTTAGACAGAATTGCCAGTTGCTAACAGGTAATTGTTGCAAATGTGATTTTTTTCTGCAGGATAATGGATCTCCAGAAGAACATGCAATTTATGTTTGGGACCATTTTATTTCCCAGTCAGCAGCAGAGAACGTGTTTTTTGTTGCTCACAGTTATGGAGGACTTGCATTTGTAGAGTTGGTAAGTATGCCTTTTTCATTGCCTTCTTTCCTGAGGTCTTCCACAGATTTTCAAAGTTCTTTGTTATTATCTTCTTCAAACAGCAGTTTAGGAACAGTTTGACCAGTGTTCACATACAGGTCTATGAGGTTTTCTTTGAATCTGGAAGATCACTGCATAGACCTCTGTTACTGAGTTAGACAGTAGGTTCCATGTATCCACTAATCTGAAAAACTGTGGAAAAATAAAGCTCACTGAATCCTTCTTTTTCAGATTCTGTAGTAAAGGTAGGACTCAGCAAGTTTCTGGTCTGTGGTTAGAGAGGCTGGAGGTCAAGACTGGGAATAAATAACAATTTAATGCTAAGTCATAATTAATAGATGCACATTCTTCTATGTAGCTGAATGTGAAGAGAGATTTGGAGGTTTACATGATTTTGCAGTTTTTCCACAAATGAGTTCAGAATCTGGTGGAAAGACTTTCTTCAGTTTAGTTAGCTCTGGATAAACCCTGCTGTGACTTAAGCTGGGGAGAATTCTGGCCAGTCTAAAGCTTTCCCACCCTTGATTTTAGGACTGCTGAAGATCCATCTTTTTCGTCAGTTTTTTTGGTCTAATCTCTACAAGGCAAATTTCTTCACCTTGTCTAAAACAGAAAGAATTCACCTGGTCAATTTATCGTGCGTGTATAAAATAATGTAGGTGTGGTCATTAAATTGTAAAATACTGATGTAATCAGGAGATGCTTTACTGAAGAAAACTTTAAAAAGAAAAGCCCTGTTTTTGCGCTCAAGAAGTGTGTTAGTTTTATAGAAACAGAAATTAGCTGATATATATGTAAAACTTCTATCTACAAAATATTCAGAGAATCATAGAATGGGTTGTGTTGGAAGGAACCTTTATATAGGTAGGGGCACCTCCCATGAGACCAGGTTGCTCAAAGCCCCATCCAGCGTGGCCTTGAATGCTTCTAGGGAGGTGTGTAAGAATGCAGATAGGTAATACTTCAGTTAGTTTAAGAATTTTAGATTTTTATTAACTCTTTCCATTTGTTCAGATTAAGGCCGCTTTGATTTTTTCTGTGTTTCCTGAAAAATATTTTTAAAACTAAAGAGTATAATGTGTATAGATTTGAAACTTGAGAACAGCTCTGCTGATCATTTTCCACAGGTATTTTATTACCATGTTAGTAAGTTCTCTCAAAAATAAATTTTAAGAGACCAGATTAGTAAAGATGATTAACTCCTTCACTGACCATAACTCCGGGCAACAGTTTTTTAAGCTGGCTGTGTTGTGCATGGTTGATGCTCCTCAGACACATGCAGAGCAGGAAGAATCTGTTCTGCTATCTTCTCTTTCATAAGCTGTGATTTTAAGCTGACGTGTGTTTCAACCTAGGTTATTCTGATGTGCCTTATCTTTCGAAAATGAAATGTTAGCAGAATTTTTTTAGACTTTGTGAAGCCATGTTGTGTAGGTGCCTGGACACCTACAGATACATACAGTTAACACAAGGCAGAAATAAAAAATGAGACCCTTCTCACCATTTCCCAAACAAAGCACTTATTTGAAGGAGGCTTGGAGAGCTAGCAGGCAGAGTTTTTCCATCACATTTCAGTCAATGGCTTGAGGTGGCATGGGTAACAGATGACCAACGTGTCATTCCCATTTTGCCTGTTTCTCTTGTCACACTGGTGGATATTTCTTCACTTTTGTTCTACTTTAATATGAAGCACGCAGATGTTTCAGAACAAGACTTGACTTCTGACCTTGGGGCTTCCAGGGTCAGGGTGCTCAGGGCCTGTGAAATTATCACAAGCTGAGCTAAAGTTTTTATCCATCACAGGAAGTAACCAGTAAGTAAGAAGTTAAAAAGGATCTTTGTCAGAGAGACAAGATGGTCTCAGTAAGGGTCAGCTTCTGTAGTCTGCTGTCTCTGCAGGAGATACATGCCTGAGAGGAAGAATATAATATATAACCATTGGCACATCACATATCTGTCATGCAAAACTGGACCTGAGAAGTATATTTAATGTACCCCAATTGTTTTAGAAAAAAAAAAAAAAAAAAATCAAAGGATATTAACACCTGGCTCTGGTAGAAGTAGTTTGAAGTCAGTCTTCCACTGAAAGGAGTTTAATAAAATAATATATACGCTTAAGCAGAGGTGAGGTATAAGTGAAAAAAATCTTGAACTATTTTTTCACAGTGTTAATTTGTGGGATTTTATTTTGTTATGCTCTCCTTTCTCTTCAACTTTATATCCATATGAGCTTTTGCAATTACAAAAGAAAGAAAGAAAGAAAGAGAGAGAGAGAGAGAAAAGAAGGAAAGAAGGAAAGAAGGAAGGGAGGAAGGGAAGAAGGGAGGAAGGAAGGGAGGGAGGGAGGAAGGAAGGGAGGAAGGGAGGAAAGAGAGAAAGAGAGAAAGAAGGAAAGAAGGAAAGAGGGAGAGAGAGAAAGAGAGAGAAAGAGAGAGAAAGAGAGAAAGAGAGAAAGAGAGAAAGAGAGAAAGAGAGAAAGAGAGAAAGAAAGAGAGAAAGAGAGAAAGAGAGAGAGAAAGAGAGAGAGAAAGAGAGAAAGAGAGAAAGAGAGAAAGAGAGAAAGAGAGAAAGAAAGAAAGAGAGAAAGAAAGAAAGAAAGAAAGAAAGAAAGAAAGAAAGAAAGAAAGAAAGAAAGAAAGAAAGAAAGAAAGAAAGAAAGAAAGAAAGAAAGAAAGAAAGAAAGAAAGAAAGAAAGAAAGAAAGAAAGAAAGAAAGAAAGAAAGAAAGAAAGAAAGAAAGAAAGAAAGAAATGGAGCAGCTGATGGGCAGTTACTGTCAGTAAGTATACTGAAGTATACTGGGGAAGCAGTACAGTATACTGAACAAATATGTATTTGTTCACTTTCTCTCATGCTTTGTTGGGGCTAGATGATGGGGGTAGTATAGCAGCTGCACCATGTAGCAGCCACACCACCCCTACACTTGCTATACAAGCATTTTGGGTCAAGCAGTCTATAGCAGTGTAGGTTACAGAAGTTACAGAGACCCTCTGCACAGCTGCTCCTGACCCTGCTCCTCTTACAGGATTGTCCTGTGAGGCACATGGCTTTAATTTGGAGCAGAGGTTTATGCCTGGGCCCGGTGCGTCTGATTGCGTCTTCAGGAAGAAAAAAAAAAAAAAAACAAGTGAAAAAGACAGAAAAGTTTTGATTCATTGATTCATTGAGTTTTCAATGAATCTTTTAAACTCATTTTGCATGTTTGGTGCTGCTAGATCTATCCCAGTTATTTAAAATTGTCTCAATTACCAGAGATGTTAAGTTCATCACTTCCTCATTGTGTAAGGCACTTGACACAGAACTGACACATTCGTGTTAAGCAAAGAAGAAACCTGATATGAAGCAGTGGCTTACTGATGGAGTTCAGTAGCATGATGTGGGCAAATCAAGGCAGAGCTGCTGTTCAGAAGCAGCACAGGAAAACTTTCAGCCTTGTTAAGGGCAGAAGAAAGTCCAGGTGCTCCTTTGTGTGAAGTTTCTAAGGGAAAAGATACAGAAAAAACAGCTCAGCTCTACCTCTCCTCTACTCGTTGGTTCTCCACATCCAGCGCTGGAATGTAGGTACCTGCCACTCATTTCGGTAAAGAAACCAAACTCACAACAAAGTAACTGACCAGCAGTGGTGAAGTCAGTAAAAAAGGAGAAGCATTTTTGTTTATACCTAACAAATGGTCTTTGCTTTGAATTTGATCTTACAACAGAAGTCAAGCTATGGTTTGGAATTCCTTTATTAAATAAGCCAGTAATACTTGGCTACAATTTTCAAATGTATGCCACATCTAATATTTCATTTGGTATTTGCAACTTTTTGTTTTCATGTTTGTGGCCACGAGACGATAAGAAGAGCAGCACAGATCTATGACATCGTAAGTGAATGTACAGAAACTGTTATGCAGATACTGCAGTGTAGGCACACATTTTCTGTACTGTACTGAGTTGTAGACTACTGGGGAAATAATTGAAAGTGATTGAACATGTGTGGGAAGTAAAGTTCCACCAATAAATGTAGTTAGTTATATTGTTTATGGCTTGAATTACAAATGCTAATTATAAACCATATGCTAAAATGCATCTTTATATTTAGTGATTAAAACTTTGTGTAATTCTGGTTTGAAAGTAAATGCACATCTAATAATATCTAAATGTAAATTACTTTTTAAATACACAGCACTAAAAATAGTTGTGTTGGTCACTGTGTTGCGCTAATTACTGATTTTAAAAATCTCAAAACATGATTCATGAGCACACCTCATCTTCTTCTCTAGCCAGTGTAGTCAGGGATTTATTTTCAGAAGCAGCTTGCTGTAGTTGATGGTAAATCATGGAACTTTCCCAACTCCTGGCTTATAATAATTTTCTGAAATTTAACAGAAACTGAGAATTTCAAGTTGATGGAGTCAATTTTATATTTAGTTTACAGAAAATAAGTTTCTGGTACAACGCCTCCTGTGAGTTTTTCTGCCAAATTTTGCAGGTTTACAATTATTTCACTTTAAAAAGAATGTTTTCCCTTGTCATTGCCTGCCTGAAAGACCCTCACAGAAGGAGGATAAACTGTGCACCAGTGCTTACCTGAGTCTTGTGACCACCCAGCACACATCCAACTACAATTCTAAGTCATAGAATCATAGAATCATAGAATCATAGAATCACCAAGGTTGGAAAAGACCTAAAAGATCACCCAGTCCAACCGTTCACCTATTCCCAATAGCTCCTACTAAACCATGTCCCTCAACACAACATCCAGTCTTTCCTTGAACACCCCCAGGGTTGGTGATTCCACCACCTCCCTGGGCAGTCCATTCCAGTGCCTGACCACCCTTTCTGAAAAGTAATACTTCCTCATGTCCAGCCTGAATCTCCCCTGCCGTAGCTTGAAACCATTCCCTCTGGTCCTATCACTAATGACACGAGAGAAGAGGCCGACCTCCAGCTCACTACAACCTCCCTTCAGGAAGTTATAGAGAGCAATGAGGTCTC